ATAAATTGCAAATCTCTTACTTTTTATAACTTGCTATTCTTTTACTTTACTAACATGGAAAAAAAACTTCTTATGTTTGGTAACTTGCTAATGTTTTTGGGTTAACCTGCTAATTTTAGCAGGCTGTTTGTTAACTTACTAATCTTAGAAGGGGATCTAATATATATCAAACCTTTTGGTTTGAGCCATGTAAAACCTCAATTTCTCTCTTAATCTTGTAAGAAACCCTAGAAAACCATGTCTCCTTTTCGGTTTCCTCTCAACCTTTCGTTGATTGTTGGTCTTCTCGCTTTTTCTCCAGGTACTTTGTGCACGTTGTTTCCCTTATTTCTTTTATCATGATTAATATTTGTATCTCTATTTTGATGTATCCAACTTAAACTACTCAAAAGCTCATATATAACAGTAGGATTTGGATTAGTGTGTTGCTTTTCAATTTGTTAGATATGAAATTCATTGAGACATATATGGCTTAATATTCAACATAGTTTTCCTTCAGGAAACAAAATATTTATTTTGCTCATATACAAACCAAACAAAAATTGTCCTTATTTTTTTTCCCTTAAAATTGCTCAAGTAATTTCAGCATATTGTAGGAGAATATAAAGGACGACCTGAAAAATCAACTTTCTTTTTGTATGTGAAATTCATCAAAATACACCAAATTTATCACCTGTCTAACATTTTAGTACTACACCTTTTGATTTAATTTTGAAATTCTCATTAAATTACACCACCACACTAGTTGCAATAGTTTAAAATGAGTATAATGTCAAATAGTGGATAAATGAGTTGTGTTTTTTTTGATAAATGTCCTTAAAGAAAAAAAAGGGAAAAAGATGACAGTATTGAGTTATTCTTCAAACTTGTTCTCCTTTTGGGGTTCTGTCAGCGAATAGAGAAAGAGAACAAGTGATATGATTTTTTACTATTATCTTTTAATTTAATTTTAAAATTCTCATTAAAATACACCACCACACCAGTTGAAGCAGAGAAAAAGTGAAAAGAGAGTAAAAGCGATATGTTTTGGGCCTTTTGGTTTGACAGAGGTGAAGTTGGGCTGGTCAAGAGCCATTGATGGAGAGAGAAGCGCTGTTAAAGTTCTTGGTGAAGAGATGAAGCTGTCTCTATGTCTTCCTAATGTAGGTGGCTGCTTTTGGTGGTGCAACATTACTAACGATTGCTTCCTGGATAAATCAAATTGTATACAGAATTGCCATAAGTAGTAATGGTAAATATCTAAAATTAATAAGTTTTTTAAATGGTTTTTTGTTTTTTTATTTTATTTTATGGCATCATGCATAAATGTGTATGTATATATTCTCTATGGCATCATAGATTAATGTGTATGGAATATGGCTATATTCCCTCTCTGATTATTGTGAGCTGTTTATCATATTTCCCTTTTTTAAATTGTGGGGTGTTTTTTCTCTCTTGCTCTCATATCTTCTCTGTTTTATTTTAATGGGCTGGATTTCTAAATTTGGACCTGAACCATACACGGCTTGTGTATGGATGGCATGACGTGCCCATAGTAATTTATGCCATTTATGGAATCTTTTCGATGCTGCATATATCATGCTCCTGTGGGAGCACGCTGTATATCCCCTCCCTCTTGTAAATACATGACCGTTGCTACTGTATTTCTTTAATTTTACCATCACCTTCTAATTATACTCAAACAAAAATTTCAATCCCCACTAAATTATTAAAAAAAAAAATGAATGTTTTTTTTCGGATTATGAGTTCATAAATTCTTAGATGTGATTATCTAAAAATTAGACAATCTTTATTCGGAATGAGGACGGTATTTTTGAAACACTTCCGAATTTAATTTTGTGTTTTTTTTTAAGTTGGTTACTAGATTGAGGAGGTTAATTTGCAAAATTTTAATACGTCGTAGTGCTCCTAAATAGGGTTTTACTTAAAAGAACAAATCTTTAAAATACTCAGCAGGAGTGGAAAATCTTTTGACCTTTTTCTAATGGATAAGATTTGTACAAGTTCACCGTTTGAGAAAGAGAGGGGGTGGTCTAAACAACGTCAAGGGACCTTATACTATACAAATAAGGCACACGTCTAAATTTTACTAAAATTTGTAGCTAAGGTGTCGAAAATCTTATGATGACTTGAAAATCCATGTTCAACCCTAACAATGAAATTTAAAATCTAAAAAATAGTGTAATGGAACAAATCTATAAACACTTGAAAATCTTAAAGACTTGAAATTCTTTTTTATCTTAATATCCATATATTTTGAGATCTTTCCAACTTCTATAAACTCATTTTTTTTAGATTTTTGTGGTACACTTTACTTCTATAATAATATAAGGTTGCAACCTTATATAAACCATTTTTATTTCCATTATGCTAGAACATGAATTATTGAACCACGTTCCATTCTTTTTACTCCTCTCATATCACCCCTTACATATCCATCCTCCAAAATGTGCCCATATCACCCATTAGATATCCATCCTCCAAAATGTGCCCATGTGGATCTATGTGCCCAAGCCTAGTCCGGCCTAGCCACCGATCACTCTCTCTCGTGTAATGGCCGGACTATGGGCTTTCTTTCTCTCTCTCTATTTCTAACCAATATAGAGTAAAAAAAATTTCTTTTAAAAAATAGGAATGTATACAATGAGATCCTTTACTTTAAGTACATAGAGGTCGCAACTACTTACAGCTATCCGATGTGCAATTTGATAGTTTGGGTATCACAAGATTCGAAAAAAAAATTTTTAAACTTGATCACAAAATTTGAAAAAATTTATTTTGAACTTTGAGCTTGATCAGTAAAATAAATGTAAGCGCCCAATTTCACATTTAATGATCAAGATTAATTGTGATAACCTTATACCAAAATGTAAATGATCTCATTAGATACTTTTTCTTAAAAAATAGGTTATATTGCATGTGTATGCTCCATGCTTAGGAGGGACCCGCCACGGGTTACGGCCCTTTATATTCCCAAAAGGTATCCTCCCCCAAAAGGGTCTTGTTTCCATTAATAAATAAAAATAGGTGGACAAAGCAAATAGGTCCAATCTCTGGGGACACCCACTTTGAGGACGCAAGGGGATTTGATGCTTCCACAGGAGCATATTGTTTGTTTACTCCACCAGGTAAACTACCATCTAATCGCCGAGTCCAAACTCGGTCCGGGTCTCGTGAAAGAAACGTGACCAAAGTAATTTAGAAAACACATTTCTCCTAAAAAAAAGTCTCTTATTTCCATTTTTGTTTGAAATTTAATAATGCCTTGGGTCTTTTAGTTGCCTATAAAAAGTTTATAACTAAGATAAAACCAAGGGATGCATTCAACATTGAATCCAAACTAGATTAAAAGAAAATTAAGTGTTCGTTCTTGAAGGCCCCCATTATAAAAAGCCCAAATCAAATCTCAATTTGTTTTTTTTCAACCGAACTCAAACTAGTCATATTTCATATTTTAAGATTCTAAACGACCAATCAAAATCCTAGTAAATATCCTACTAATATATCAAGTACCAATGCTGAATTCAACAAGAGCATATCAACTATGCATCATAATTCTTATAGCAGAAGTTCACAATCTCACATAATAAAAAGATAAAGAACATTTCCAAAATTGCATGATCTCATTCTCCTGCCGCAAGAAGTTTTAGGCTCTTTTGTTGGAATAAACGATGTTTTTAGAGCATAACATTAAAAAAAAAAAAGAGTCTCATTAGTGTTCAGTTGCTGAAGTGATTAGTTGGTGAAGTGCTTATTTACAACCAATGTTAAAAAAATCGACTCAGCCAAGGTACTTAGACTTTGGCCGAAGCAAGTTACCTGGCCGAGTCCGAGTAACTCGGGTGGTCCAACACACTTTTATTTATTTATGAAAATGAACATAAAAATTGATATAAAAAATTTAACCAAGCCTCTTTTGATTTTGAAACAATTTTTATTCTAAGCAAGATGTATTTACTTACAGCTTGCTGGATGAAGAGAAGGGCTTTTACATCTCTCTTTTTATTTTCCATGAATTCATTTTGCTTTGCCTGCGACCACGAATCAAATGCTACTGCATCTTCTGCTACTGCATAACCTTCTTCAACAATATCCCATAGATGTTGGGAGATAAAGATAGTCTTCATTTGGAGACTCCATGAATCCTAATCTTCTCCATCTAGGATGGGTATTAGATTTTGGGTATAATTCATAGCCGAGGTTGATGCTATAGGTAAAAGGGTCTTTTAGCAAGCACAAATCTGACTTTGATACCAAATGTCGAAAATTTATGGAAGCGTTGATGTAATAATTTGATCAGAAAATAGTAAAGAAATATAATAGGGGTGAAGAAGAGAGACTCAAAGATATTTCACTATTTCATTGATACAATACAAATGATTTTGATAACAAACAAATATAATGATCATTAAGGACCATAACCTTCTTTTGACTTTCTTTTACATATTTCCTCGAGAGACCCTTTTTTGGATGAATTTTCGGATTATTGTCGCCCCTTTTTATAGGTGTCTGGTACCGCCATACTACTTGATTCTTGATGGTCTTCCACCATCTATATTTCTTCACCACAAAGTAAACCATATGCATGGTAATATTTGTGCGTGCCTTTTTTTTATTGGTGGAGTGATGTGGAATAGTGATGGACGGTGGGATAGTTGTAGAGAGAGAGAATGAGAGGCGGTGATGGGTTGTGTAGAGAATGAGAGGCGGTGACAAATTATTATTATTATTATTTTTAACTTTCGAAAAAAAAAAAAAACAAGCTTGCTTTTAAATTTTGAAGAGGTGTTTAGGGCGGACTCATCACAGTCGTACAATATCTAAAATTGTAATGGTTCATTTCTATGCTTGTAGATGGAGAAACGTGCAAGGCTTTGTTCATGACAATTTTATTGAACATCATGTTTGTGCCTCCTTTATTTCCGTGGTGAGTATTAATGAAATTCCTATCACTATAAATATCAATACAAACTCCCTCAAGCTCCACACATAACCGCAGGCCCTCTTTTATGCTCTAACAAGCCTTAAGAAAACATGGCTCAGTTTCGCTTTCCTCTCTCTGTTCTATTCATTGTTTGTCTTGTTAGTCTTTTTTTGGGTATTTTTTTTTGTTTTGTAAATATGACAGGTTTATACACCATTTAAATAACGAGAGAGTGATTTCACGTATGTTAAGATAAAGTTTCTTGGCTTCTAAAGTGTGACATAAGAGCATCATGTCCTTGAACCGGCCAAAAGACCATAGATTCGTGTGTCCGTGTTACAGAGTAATAGTAATGTCATTAAATATCATTATGAATTGTACTAGAGCAAGAGGAAAAAAAAAGAGAAAGAAATGCCCCTAGTTCTCAATGGGTCCTAAGTGAAAAATGAGTCTTAGTTTTTTTTCTCTTTTGGGGGAGAAAGTTTATTATAACATTCTCGTTTTTGTCTTGGCAGAGGTGAAGGTGGGTTGGTCACGAGGCCTGGAAGAGATGAACAATGGTGTTGAAGTAAAGACGGTGCAGGGCCCAGAAGCGATGAATAATGGTGCTGAAGAAAACGTGGTGCTGAGCTCTAGGGAAGGTTGCTATCCGGCTTCGAATTACCCCTGTTGGTGGTGTTCCATTAATGGAAATTGTTATACATCTGAAAAATACTGCAAGATCTATTGCCATAAATAAGTACAAGTGCACTTGTCTTGGCTTTGGTGCATGGATATTTAAAAATAAAGCCATGTGGGCCTCTCTTTTATCTCCTAACAATAATGCTGATAATAATAAAATGACTCCTGCTTCTTGTTCTTCTCCATATTTCAGTTGCTCTCTCTCTATCAAAGAAAATGATAATAAGACTTATATGCAATAGAATGGGTATTTTACCTCGAGAGGAATATGGGTATAGGGGAAGACTCCAAACTTTGTTGTAAGATGTAATTTTGGTGACGAAATTTTTTAGGATAGTCCAGTAATTTATATTTATCTATATAAAAAAATTTTAAACGTTAAAATACTTCAAATCAAGTAGATTTATAAACGTATGAAAATCTTGAAATTGTACTGTCTAGATAATATATTGTAAAATGTACTGTTTTCGAGACTTAAAACTATTTTTTTCCGCCATATACATATATCGTCATGTCAAGATGATTAATTAGATGGTTTTCCAACATCACAAAATATTTTTCGATGTATTTTGAGGTGCTATTTAGAGCGTCAACCTTATATAGATTTTTCTTTAAAAAATTTGAAAACTTCCACCTTGGAAGTAGATAAAAGGATTGTGTTTCCATAGGGTCTTGGCTTTATGAAAACAAAGTAAAACCTCCCAACATATCCTCGTCTAGAAAGTAATTTGGGTATAAGAAATCTCCGTGATGGCTCTGAAATCAATTTCAATTACTGACTATGAAATTTGAAGCTAAAAAATTAGTAAAGATTCTACTATTTTTGAATATTTAAACATTGTAAAATTCATGTGCAAATGACTGTCTCATTATTTGAAAAACTGATATTTCTGCACTTGACTGTAGTATTTCCTATGAAATGATTATTTGCGAATTAGCTATTCCATAAATTGTGATAATTCCGTAATTAATTTTGGATTCTCATAAGGGTTCTTCTATTGATACTAGACGGTTGTCATGTTAGATTTCAAGAATGTCCTTAAGAACTGCTACCTTTAATAAATTATTGCCAAAATATTTGACTAGTTACTTATTGATATTTTAATGAAAGTGATTGTTTAACTTGTTTCAAGCGAATTTCTATTAATGATTTCAATGATACTTTGGATATATGATGTTGATTCTTTCTGAGGTTAAAAGAAATTAAGAGATAATTTAAGTATATTTGGACCCATCCAGGACGTTGGTGGGGTATTTGGACTCATCCGGTACGCTGGTGAGGTATGATTGGACTTGCAGGTATTATTTTGGTTCCATCCAGGACACTGGTGGGATATTTGGACTCATCTAGGACGCCGGTGAGATATGATCGGACTCGCAGGGATTGTTTGGACCTATCTGGTTATGTCGGTAGGGATTGTTTGGACTCATCCGGTATGCCGGTGAGGTATGATTGGACCTGTTGGGATTATTTGGACTCATCCAGAACGCTGGTGGGGTATATAGGTGACCTACTCGGGACACCAATATGGTATTTTGTGAAATCTTTTGAATGATGCATTTCTTTTAAAATGTTGATATACATTTCCATCATTTGGATTATGTTTAATGGTGCATTTCTGAAAGTACAATTGTTATTTTATAAATGTTTTTGCTCGAAGTTCCTCTTCAGGTTTTTTTTAATATACATTCTTTAAAAAACATTTATATCTTCCAACTATGATTATTTTTAGGACCATAATGATCACTTATTGAGTAGTCAAGCTCATCAAACTATTATGAATCATTTCAGAGTATTGATAGTCTTATCATACAGCAGGAGTAGCTTGGGAGAAATAATAATCAAGATCAAATATTTTTGTAACTTTTGGTTCTATCATAATTGTAAAATCTTCATGTTGACATAAGTTGAAAATGTACTTTGTACAGTTGGAAAACTTTTGTATGGACTTTCCTGTTAATATTTGTTATGAGTAGACTTTGTACAAACTCTTAGAAATGGAAAAATATCTAGCCTTCATGTTAATACCAATTGTGAGCCAACTTTGTACAGATTAAAATTACATTATTTGATGCAATACAAATATACAAGTAGGAATTTTAAATTTGTTCTATATATAGACAGTATAGAAATGGCCTGTCGCACCTCAAGAGTGTTAGTGAACATGGGGTGTACCAATTTTAGTATCAGAGTAATAGATTTAGGATTCCTAGGAAACCTGAGAGAGAATACTCTAAGTGTACTTATTGTTTATACAAACAACTACGATGTCAAGACCTCGTGTGGCTGGAGTTAGCATGGAAGGAATTCATAGAGCTTTGGAAACTATGGTTCCCCTTATGCAGCATCAAATGGAGAATAACAATTCACCGAGGCAGCCAGTTGCAGGAAATGGTGGGTGTAGTATAGAATAATTGAAGAAATTAATCCACATTCCTTTAAGGGTGCTGTTGATCCACTAGAAGCTAAGGGATGGATTATTCAATTGGAAAAAATATTTGAAGTGATAGAATGTCCAGATGATAAGAAAGTCACCTTAGCAGTCTTTATGTTGGAAGGTGAAGCTGAGCATTGGTGGCAGATGGCAAAGGAGTACTAGCCCTAAAAAATAAACCCTTGACTTGGGAAGCATTTCGAGAGACATTTAATGAGAAGTACTTCCTAGATTTTATTTGAGATAAAAAATAAATGGAATTTCTGGAATTAGTTCAAGGAAATAAGATGGTAGCACAATATGAGGCCAAGTTTACTGAATTGGCCAGGTTTGCCCCACATATGGTCAATAATGAAATAAGAAAGGTGAAAAAATTTGAAAGGGACCTCAGACCAGCCATTAAAACCAGATTATCAGTCTTAAAATTAAGAACTTATGCTAAAATAGTGGATCCAACTCAAATTGTTGAGAAGGATTGGGATGATTATCAAAAAAAGAGAAATCAAAAAGGTCAGGCTAGACCCAATAATCGACAACAATTTGAAAGGGCAAACAAAAGACCAAGGCCGGAACCATTTCAAGTCCCACCAAAGCCTTGTTAGAGATGTGGAAAGAAACATGGGCTGATACCATGTTACTGGGGAACTGGAGCTTGTTTCTAATGTGGGAAGCCGGAACACGAGATGAAAAATTGTCGCACCTCAACTGTATACGTCCTAGCCGCATGATGTTAAAAGGCTCAGCACCATGGTCCAATCTATATACCTTAAACTGTAGCGGAGTGCTAGTTGTACGACCTTAAACTTTATGGTCCTGGCTGCATGACTTTATACTGCACAACCCTGGTCTAAGCTATACGACCTTAAAACCATAGTGCACGTCTTGCCCGCACGACGATAAACTGCTTTGTACAAGTCCTGGAGGCATGACCTTAAACACGCTCTCACATACGTGCATACGCCTTTTACGTGCATCCTCAAGCACGTCTTCCCTAACCGACCCGTCTGTGTGCTTTCACCTTCTTCATTACCATCCCCAGTAAGCCCATTTACTTCATCGCCTTTCATTATTCCCCAATGAGTCGCACTGGTGCTCACAAAGCAGCAAACCATCCCTCCATCCATACTCGTCGTAAGCTACTGGGTCGCTACGTTTCACTTTCCATTCATACACTATTGATCTTTCACAAGTAGCTCTGTGCCATCTTCGCCAAGTGAGTCAAACCACCACCACACTCACTCTGTGGTCTCCACAAGACTGCCATTCATCATCATCATGGTCCAGCTGTATGACCTTAAACCATAGTGCACGTCCTAGCCGCATGAGGTTAAAAGGCTTCGCACAGATCATGGAGGTATGACCCTAAACATGCCTTCACAAAAAAAAAAGAAGAAAAATAATGTGCATGGTATATACCTTGACAAGGGAATGCCATGAGTAAAAATGACGGATGGGCATGGTCACGAAACCATGAGTAAAAGAGTTCCATGAAAATAAAAACCTGGGCACGGTGAAAACCCGAAAGGGCATCGTGAGTAAGAATGGAATAATAAGGGTGGACATGACTGAAAGGTCATGGGTCAAAGAGCCCCAAATAATAAGGAAGTTGGAGAAAACTGCCACTACGGCGCCGCTTCCCAACTTCAAGTGAAAACCTGTAAAGGGCGCTAAGACCAATAAACAGGTTGATGCAGCACTCACCTCTACGAGTGGCTTCAACCCTCATTCAAAAGAAAAATCCCCGATGTCACAAGGATAAAAAACATATGAGCTTCAAGGAATAAATTTCGATAGCCTGAGTCTATTCTAAAAAAGGACTCGAAAGACAGAAGACTCGCAAAGAAGGCAAGACAAGTCTCATGAAGAAGAGTATAATTCCCAAGAGGCCACTAAACGTACTCCAAGAGGCCAGAGACGGCCTAAGAAGGCTAAGTCAACCATGACTTTGGACCTGTTACATGAAACTGCTAACTGTGGGTAGGGGTTATACCCGAAGTCGGTCACGTCGATAAACTAAGGTACCCTGCCCGCCAAGGAATATTTGGTGCACAATGTAGACAACGGCCAACAGAAGGCCCTTTAGCATACCATCAAGAACAAATGAACAACGAAGTCATTCCGACAAGCCAAAGACGCCGCAAGAAAGCTAAGTCAGCCATGACTTTGGACCTGTTACGTGAAACTGCTAACAATGGGTAAGAGTTATACCCAAAGCCGATCACCTCGATAAACTGAGGTACCCTGCCAGCCAAGGAATATCTGGTGCACAACGTAGACAAACGCCAACCAAAGGCTCTTTTTCTGTTTATCCAAAACAAAGAAACCCAGACCAAAAGGGAAAAATGCCCTTCAACACGGCACTCGACTGTCAGACGAGCTTGATTTTGACTCACGAGGTCCTGTACAAAATCCTTAGCTTTAGAATCACAATTAGTCTCTCGAGCGTGAGAACTTCGACAGGATCCCTAAAAAAAATCTCTTCTCCCCCTAAAGTCTCCATGGATGGACCTGTACGTTGCATCCAAATGTCGGAGCATCCTAGTTGCAGCATTGTGTGAATCTCGTTGCACAGTTACTTCAAAATCAAGGACCTTGGTTTCCTAAAATACTTTTTGGGCATTGAAGTGGCTCGTTCCAACAAAGGGATATTCCTCTCTCAGTGAAAGTACACTCTTGAAATTTTTGAAGAAGCAGGATTTTTAGGTGCTAAACCTGCAGTGTTTCCCATGGAACAAAATCTCAAACTATACAC